TCTAGTTGCTTCGATAACAAATTGTCTTTACACGTACTTCACTGTGTTGTTATATAAATAAATGTAGACTTATGAAAATAGATAAAGTTTAATTTGCATGACTGGTATGTGACTGATTATATATATATATATATATATATATATTTGTATAAATGAAAGCTCCTTGTAGTTATTCGCTGTTACGAGCTACAAAAGTTCTACTTTTTCAAATATTCCCTCAATTCTCACGTATTATCTTATGTATTCAAAGATGTATACATTCGACGATAAGTATATTTTGTGGTTTCATTTACTCGTTACTTTCCCGGTTATTATATACAACAGAGGGAAAGTAGGCGATCGTTCAAAAATTCACTCCTCCCGAAGATTAAGGAAAACTTAAGATGTCGAGAAATTCAAAAAAATTCGTGGTTTTTTGTATGTATGGATGTTTCTGTATTTGTGGAGAAGCATGATTTTGTTCACTTTGTTTGAAGCTTAATAACTTGTATAGTTTTCGTCGAATATTTCTGACATTCGGCATGGCGGTTTGTTTATTAGAGGGATTGGTGCTATTAAATTATGGTGGTAGTTATAGATCGACAGAGTGAAGTGATAAAGGAGTTGCATGTCACATCTTGAGTGAAATCGAACTTAATGACAATTTTACTCGTTATTAGAATTTGGTATTTTTTATAAAACTAAATTCCATTTTGCCAAAAACTAAATTTTTCTATTTTATAATAGGTAAAAATATGAAAATTTTTAAATAATAAAATATCCTAACAGTCTGCGCCACCAAAAGTTGCCAGAAAAGTTAACCATATCGTTGCTTTTTTTTAAATAAACTAATCATGTAACTTTCGGGAATTTTAATACTGTCTTGAATTAGAAAATGAGATAAGTATTGAAATTTATTATGGAATTGAGACAAACATGTTTTGCAATAGTTTTAAACAGTCTTATAGGAATCGTCCAGAAATTACGTAATACCCTATTCACACTGTATATTTTAAGCCAGCTAAAGGAATGAAATATGAACGGAACTATTTATTATATTTATTTTTCTTGTTACTCGTACGATAATCGTAAATGATGAAAACATCAAATTAATAACTATTATTAAATTTAAAAAAAAAATAATTCTTCCTATTTGAAACATTGAAATTTTCTTTGTATTTTAACTAGAGAAGAAGTAACGAAGATTGGGCATTCGGGAGGCAGCCCATCTACCTGGCAATATTTCCAGGTAGTTAATAGCATTATAGGACATCAGCCAGCCCAGAATATAGCATTAATGGAAGAAAGTTATAGCAGTGTGATGATACAATGTTTACCATCACTCGAATTGGATACATGTAAACTATCATTAGATGTATCCTGTTAGTCTATATCAAGATCTATTAGTTAACCATCAAAAATATTTGTTATAATAACTCAACTTCTCATAATACTTGGTCACTTTTAAATATAACACAACATTCTGGAATTTATTATTAAAATTGTACATTTGTGCCTTTATTACCATTTGGCATCTATAACTGCAAGAACTATAGAATGCCAGTTAAATTCAAAAGTTGTCAGAATACATTTGTCTGGATAGACATTGTAAAATATTTAAGCATGTTCACAAACTCCATTTTACATATATTTTTGTTTAATTAAGCATTTAAGTTCTGGTGATTTTTCTTGTGGTTGTTACTAAACAGGTAAACATCATTTACTTTAATAAATTAATGTTTTTATATAATTTAAATCCTTTATTGTGAGTATTTAAATAAAATAAGTGTATATTTTTAAACAATTGTGCTTGTATCTTTTAGAGAACGATGAAAATTCCAATGAATTTATAGATGTACCAGTACCAGAACGACTTGAACCCGAAATAAGGGTGACAAGGTCATCAAAGAAAAAGAAACGGCAACTGGAACGGCAAATAAATGAATCAATAAGTGAAATTAAAAGGAGCAATGCCGTTTCTGAGGAATTGGAAAGGAAATCTATAAAAATTGCAGAAGAAGGACTGCAACTACAGAGAGAGAGTATAGGATTGCAAAAGGAGTTGTTATCTGTAATAAAACTGTCTAATTAAAATTTGAATATTTATGATTTGAAATAAAAATCATTTTTATTGTATATGATTGTTTATTTTCCTTAATTGAAAATACATCTTTGATGATTGCGGGAGGACTGCAGTTATAAAGTTTATTTTCCTGACTTTATAAATGAATAAAACTACACACACTAGACAAAATTTCAGTCAAAGTAATTTATTTCAGCTTAATGTTTGAGTATATAAATTTTATTACAGTCTCCTGGTTTTCAAGAGCTTGTTTAAAAAGAATTCGCAGTTACAAGGAGTTTCATTTAACACTCAAGTTATGAGGACTGCTCACATAAAAATTAATTTATATTAATGATTTTAGAACAAACAGATAGAACTTTATATATTATTTAATATTAGCAATGTCAAAATTTAAAGTACAACTATATTCTACTGAACTTTGAGTATTGTCCTGTAACAAATCTTGTTTTGTGAACTTAATTTAAAATCCTTATAATCTTAATCTTCATCCCTAAAACTTCTTGCAATAGAATTTCTAATTGAAATAGCTTTGGTGTTGTTTATCCCTATGACACAAATTCTCCCTGATGAACAATCAGACATGTTTTCTCTATTGGATCAACCCTCTCCTCACACAAATTATGTAATATACAACAAGTTTTAATTACAGTCGACCCCCTATAACACTGTTGATTATTCCGTTTTATACGAANTTTTGAGAACTTAATTTAAAATCCTTATAATCTTAATCTTCATCCCTAAAACTTCTTGCAGTAGCATTTCTAATTGAAATAGCTTTGGTGTTGTTTATCCCTATAACACAAATTCTTTCTGATAAACTATCAGACTGATTTATTTCATTAAGCCATGTTTTCTCTATTGGATCATCTCTCTTCTCACACAAATTATGTAATATACAAGTTTTAATTATTTGTTTTGATATGTCAATCCTATTATCCATTCGTTTAGATAGTGTTCGAAATCTTGCTTTTAATCTTCCAAAAACATTTTCCACTACTCGTCGAGCTCTAGATAATTTAAAATTGAATATTTTTTCTATCTCATCCTCTGTTTTACTTCTAAATGGTTTCATTAAAGTTGGCTGTAAAGGAAAAGCAGAGTCATCAATAATTAAAGATGGCACAACTTCTCCACCAATTCTTTCCCCTAATTCTAAGGTGTTTCTATTTTGTAGGCATGTTAAAAGAAAGTGAGAATTTTTTAAAATATGTGCATCATTATTTCTTCCAGGAGATACTACATTTATATATGTATTTATATATGTAAACATATATTTGGCATCTGCAACAGCAAGGAGGACCATAGAATACCATCCTTTATAGTTGTAATAGGCAATGCAGTCTTGTTTTGGTGATGAAATAGGAATGTGTGTGCTATCAATTGATCCAAAGCATTGTAGAAAATTCCAAATCTCGTAAAAATCACGAATTTTTAAGTCTATTTCATTTCTACTCTGTGGAAACTGAATAGCGGTAGACATTGAATTATCTATAACTGCATTGCAGAAGTCTATAACAATTTTACAAACAATGGATTTTCCTACACCAAACAAATGTGAAATAGTCCTATATTCAGACGATAATGCCAATGTATATAGAGCAATTGCTACTCTTTTATGTGTAGAAATACATCACCTCAAGTGAGTATTATTTCTTTTCATTTCAGGTAATGCAGCACGTGAAAAATTAAACGTTTCTCTAGAAACTCTAGTTTTCACGCCAACTTACTTCATCCATTGCAGGAACACACTCTTCCCACCATTTCTGATTTCTTGGGATCTTCCAAATTCGATCACTAGGAAGCGTAGAACAAATCATGGCTACAACACATGCCTTAACTTTTGCTCGTTGTCGCCATTTCAATGCTCTTGTTCGTGTCAAACGATACCCCTCTCTGTTATCGTGTATACGCTGCTTCAATACAAGAAGTTTAAATAATAATAATATAACTTTTGTCGAGAATCCATTCTTATCACAAAGTGATAACATTGAGAGAATCGTGCTGCCAACCACAACGATAATGACATCACTGATAATAAATGTTAATAATTCCTAACTAACGTCTTATGTATTTTAAATTAATTTATGATGATTTATCAAAAATAAACAAAAGTTTGATTTTATTTAAAATGTAATATTGAGTGCACCCGCTTGAGGGCTAAGCGAATAATTCGCTTTAATTACCCAGTGTGAACAAGCAGTTAAATTTGTTTTCGGCAATGCGACTTAACTTAACTCTGCTTAAATCTTAATCCCGCTTAAAATATACAGTGTGAATAGGGTATTACATTTGTAGATGACTTTTCTAGATTTACTATAGTATATCTAATTGAAAGCAAAGATGATGTTCTTACAAAACTGAAAGAATTTGTAGCTTCTACTACAAATAAATTTAAGAAAAATCAACACATTAGGATCAGATAACGGTGGTGAATACTGTAATAAAAATGTTGAAGAATATTTAACAAAACAAGGAATCACTCATCAAACTACAATACCTTATTCTCCTGCACAAAATGGTGTTGCAAAAAGAAAGAACAGATCTCTCATAGAAATGGCACGAGCTATGATAATAAATGCACATCTTGCAAAATCCTTTTGAGGAGAAGCAGTAATAACTGCAAATTATTTGCAGAACAGATTACCTACTAAAATAATAAATAAAACACCACATGAGTTGTGGAACAAAAGAAAGCCCAACCTAAACCATCTTAAAATTTTTGGATGTAAAGCATATCCCTACATAAATAAGCATAAAAGAAGAAAATTAGATGAGAAAGCCATTGAAGGTATATTTGTAGGGTATGATATGAGAAGTAAGGGATACAGGATTTACACAGGCGATAGAAATGTAATAATAAGCAGATCAGTAAAATTCCTAGAAATGAATACAGGAAAAGAAAATAAAGGAAAACATAAACTATGGAATACTAAAGATGCCTTCCAATTTTTCCATGTTAATGAAAGTTTTCCAGAAGAGCAAGACTCAGAAGAAGAAACAGAGTCTGTAGAAATGCAAACAGAAGAAGAAACAGAATCAGAAATTCCACTAAGAAGGTCTGAAAGATCAACCAAAGGNCCTTATATCTTTATTGATGAGTCTTTACAATGAACAAGAAGCAAAAGTAAGAACTCTATACGGAGAAACTGAATGCTTTAAAATTGAGAAAGGGGTGCGACAAGGCTGCATTTTGTCTCCATATCTGTTTAACTTATATACTGAATATATCATGAGAATGGGTACTACAAATGAAGAGTCCATTGGTATCAAGATTGGAGGCGAAACTATTAATAATATAAGATATGCAGATGATACCACCCTTTTCACAGAAAGCAAAGCAGATTTAGAAAAAATTATCATAAGGGTAAAAGAAGAAAGTGCTAAGTTTGGTTTGAAGCTAAATGTAAAGAAAACTAAAGTAATGTCAACTAAAGAGTTAAAAGATTTCATTGTGGATGGTGAAAGAATTGAAGTGTTAGAAAGTTACATACTTTTGGGCTCAAAGATAGAAAGGAATGGAAGTTGTGAAGAAGAAATCAGGAGGAGAATTAATCTTGGCAGAACAGCCATGGCAAATCTCACCAAGATAATGAAAGATAAAGACATTTCCATTCATACTAAGAAAAGAATTGTAGAAGCAATGGTTTTCCCTGTAACATTATATGGCTGTGAAAGCTGGACTCTAAGGAAAAAGNTACAGGAAAAGAAAATAAAGGAAAACATAAACTATGGAATACTAAAGATGCCTTCCAATTTTTCCATGTTAATGAAAGTTTTCCAGAAGAGCAAGACTCAGAAGAAGAAACAGAGTCTGTAGAAATGCAAACAGAAGAAGAAACAGAATCAGAAATTCCACTAAGGTGGTTTGAAAGATCAACTAAAGGTATACCTCCAGAAAAAATGGCATTCAAAGCTGAAGTTAAAATTCCACATAGAGATCCAAAGTCATTAGAACATATATTGGAATTACCAAAGGAAGGAAAGCTAAAATGGGAAAAAGCAATGAGTGAAGAAATTAATTCCCTAAAAAAAAGGAAACTTGAAAATTAGTTGATTTACCACAAGATAAAAGAGCAATAGGATATAAGTGTGTTTTCAAGACAAAGTAGGATGAAAATGAAAGATAAACAAAATGCAAAGCAAGATTAGTAGCAAAAGGCTATGATCAAAAATTTGGAACTGACTTTGATGAAACATTTGCACCAGTGGGGTACGCTTGCCCCCCGAAGAGTCAGCCTTCCAGGAGGAACTCCGTCAAACAGAAGCATACACCGAACAGTGGAAAACCAATTCCCTGAGTCAACCTACAACTACCATCAATCAACCTCCAGTTTCCTCTACCCCACTTACTACTATCAGTCCATCCTCCGCACTTGCCAATCCTACTTCGATTGCATGGATAAGACACCCTCCGCCCGAAGAACTAGACAGCAACGATCTTCCGCACCCCCTCCAACTTAGACTAAACCCATATCCCATATTTACTTGTCTATATATCAATTAAGTATATCCAATTGTTCATATATTATCATCACCTTATATTATAATTAATCTATAATCTCTTATTGTGAATCTAATTTGTAATTTAATTTTTATATTATTGAAATTTGAATAATTTGATTGTATATCCATCACATATATAGAAATAAACTAATTATTGAATATAATAACATATTGTTATAATTTCCTTTAATAACATAATTACGAAACCGAGAGAGAGAGTATAACTTCAATGTTATTTTCTTATCGCGAGAAAATTATCAATTATTTCCGTTACGGAAACCAGACTAAAGCGCAACCGGATAAATCACCGATTCTCTATTTAACTCATAATAAATGAATTCTCTATTTAAATCATAATAAAGGCATAATGAAATGAGAGAGAGAGAATAAAATTGTTTAGATTGTAACCCAAAGGGTAAAAATGTAGCTTGTCCACTACGAACAAGCTCGATTTTACAAAGGCCGAGATGATGTGAGAGCCGAACTTGGTGAAATGTGTGAAATTCGAGATTTATATAAGGTAATAAAAGCATTTAATCCTTTAAAGTTTTAATAAATTCCTTTAACTAGAAGTTGCACCTGCAAAAACGAAATTTGAGGTGCATGAGAAAATTATAACTCTTTCTATTTAACTATAAACATTCTTACGATCAATCCGTGAATAGTTTACAATTATCGACAAAATTCGTCATATTGTTCTCATTCTAACACCAACTTTAATTAACCCCACACCTGCGAAAACAATTGGTCATCTGACGAATTTTCCCACCAAAAATGTATAAAAGCCATCTTCCTGCCCCTCTCGAGAGAGTCACCGATCGACGACCAAGACGGGACCTTCACTTTCCGTTGACCTACTGAACGACACTAATTGGAAGACCTTGTGCCCCAACTCGCACCATTTTTCAGAAATTAAAGTCGAAGTATCCATCCGATACTATCACAGAGGTATGAAATATTATTGTAGACTCTCTCTCTCATCCGCAGAGTTTTGTAAAATTTTATTTAGTTAGCGCGTTAAATACACCGTTGTTTGTTTTTAAATGGTGTCGTTACTCGACTTTGCTCACGCCTTATCGCCGACCCCTCCAACTCTCCTCCACTCGCGTAACGAGTAACCTAACGTTACTACCATCCCTGACAAGAAAAGTAGGTCACCGACCTGTGGCCGGAAGGAGAGGACTTCCCGACCTCCCCGGCGGCTCACAAATTGGTTTACAGGAGTGCGGTCCGACTTTATCGGAAAATCGGTAAGGCACAGGAGGCTATAGTCGAGAAAGTAGTTAATTTAAATCGAAGTAGGGATTATTTAGACCTAAAATTTTATTTAGACCTAGTATTTTAAGATTTAGACCTAATTAGAATTACAAAATATACCTAATGGAGGAAGCAGCTCGTGATGTGGCTAGGGCAGGCAACACAAACCCAAATTCAAAGCCAACGCCGAATCCCCTTACGTTGGGAGGATTAAGTAGAATTATACCCTTATAACCTGTATTCTCTGAGGCTGGAGGCCCCAGAGTAACAGACTTCTTTGATTCATTAACGGATGTTACCAAGGTAGCGGCATGGTCAAAGGCACAGATGTTGGCCGTGGCCAAGCTTAAACTTACCGGGATAGCCCGGGAATTTGTTAGGAAGGACCGTCGAATCAAGAAAGTAGAGAAATTCGACGAATTTAAGCGATTAATGATAGAGCGCTTTGACCGCGAACCCTTTACATTTCGACTAGATAGATTTTATACCTGCGTGCAGAAACGGGAGGAAGACGTACAGACATATGCCACTCGCCTACAAGCGTTGGCCATGGAGATAGATATCACACCGGAACCTGGCGCAGATGCAGCAGAAACAGCCATTATTCACAGAGTACAAAGCAAGGAGCTAGATGAGAGATTAAAGGCACAATTCCTGAATGGGATCGATATACGCATAAGGCAGTCCCGAGAGCCTGCCACCTTTGACGATGCGCTAAAAGCCGCCATTAGCGAGGAAAGAATAGAGAACCTCACCACACGTCCTCGAGGGATTATGCGAACAATTCGAGAAGGCGACAAATCGACCGATTCCTCCTCCTCTTCAGAGGAACTACATCAATTAACTGCAGCGATGAACGAGCTTAAGGCTCGCATAGAGTGTTTAACCAGACCTCCCTCTCAAAACAGCTTTAGAAACCCTACCTCGAGAATAAACCAACGAGGAAGTTATACTAGTAACAATTATAACAATAATACGTATAATAATCCGACCTTTCGACGAAGGGGCTATCGTTCGAACTCCCCTAGTCGACAATTCGATCAAACGACCAGACGACCTAATACGAATCAATCCATAGATCGGAATACGCTCAGACAGCGAACTAATCAACGTAACAAACGATCTATGCGTCCGAAACCTGGCTTCCATAGGCAAAAAGGAGTGAAAGTGATAGAAATAGAGTACGCTTCCGATCTCCGCCAACGCAAGAGACGCCAACCAAATGGCAAGGCAATGTACACAGTGTTGAAAGTCCCCGACATCGAGTTAAATATAGAGGGGAAACTTCTATGCTTCCTCTTTGTAACTTTAGTAGGAAGCAAGGGCCAGAATTAACCTTAAATGAACAGACCTATAAGAATTCTCTGAAAAGGTATCGGAAAAATTCCTCCCTGCAAATTTCTAAGTATACTACAGAGAGAAGTGAGGCTACATTTGATTGTTACATAGGAGGTAATCCAGAGATAGTACAAGTAGACACGGGAGCTAAGGTGTCCCTATTATCTAAGGCTTTCGCCAATACTATGAGGGAAAAGGTACCCATTCACTATAATAAGGAAACAGACCTGAGAAGTACTACTGGACATCTAATCCGAACCTATGGCATTACTAGCCCTATTTTCCAAATCGGGAATTTACAATTCCCTTTCGCCTGTTGCCTGGTGGATATAGACGTGACCTATCCCTGTGATGGTATTATTAGATATGATAACCGAGATATGATAACAGAAAAGGGATTTTGTATTGATTTGAAAGGGGAGAGATAAGGATTCCTCTGCATACTGTCATACCTTTTCATACTCCAGGGAATGTGAGGAGAAAAACGGAAGGAGAACAATATGAGAAAAACGGGAAACCAAAATTCGGTAAAGATAGGCGAAGGGGGATGAGAAGCCAGCCATCCCGAACAGCAGAAATTAGTGAAACAAGAAAAAGAGCCGACCAACCGGCCGAGCGGGAAGAAGGAAAGGAAGTAGTAATATTGGAAACTTGTCAATTGCCTCTGTTGACCGAAAACATAGTTACAGCTCGAATTTTGGGAATCAAACGATCTGCCCAGATCGGAATAATTGAAACTGAGTCTGTTGGTCAAGAGGGAGTCTCCGGAGTAGATGTACTGGTAACACCCAATAAAAAGGGACAGGTTACCGTGTGGTTCCGTAACGACTCTCATAAGACAATTAAATTAAAAAAGGGTACTAAATTCGGACTGTTTTTCGAAGCTATAGAAAGCTCAGATCACATACACAATATCAAGGAGGGAGCGACGGCAAACCTATCAAAAGAAGAATTTAGTCAACTTTTTAACTGGAATGGGATCCCTGAGAACAAGAAACAAGACCTACTGACATTAATGTATAAATATAGGCACGTTTTTCTACAAATGACTATGACCTAGGATATTGTGATATTGTGCAACATCAGATAAACACAGGTGATGCGGCGCCCATTTACTCTCCTCCCTATCGAATTCCTTATGCGCAACGCCAGCAATTAAATAAGATTATAGATGGCCTCTTGGCCCATAATATAATTGAACATTCTACCTCCCCTTGGAGTTCAGCTGCTCTCCTAGTAAAGAAGAAAGATGGGATGATTCGCTTGGCGGTCGACTATAGGAAGCTAAATACAATTACTAAGGAGGACCTATACCCCTGCCCCTTGTACAAGAATCCCTTAATCTAATGAGACAAGCCAAGTACTTTTCGTTCATGGATACGATTTCAGGTTTCTGGCAACTAGGGGCAGGTGATAAGGAGAAGACTGCCTTTTCCACTCCTGATGGGCATTATCAATGGAACCGGGTCCCGATAGGTCTGAAAACAAGTTCTGCGGTTTTTGAAAGAACGATGGACTTTATATTACATGGCCTAAAAGGAAAAACATGTCTCGTCTATATGGACGACATTTTAACTTTTAGTCCAGACTTCCAGAGCAACCTTAAACGACTTGAACAAATATTTTAGAAACTAGGAGAAGCGGGGATCAAACTAAAACCAAATAAATGCTATTTCCTACAACAACAGATCAAGTTTCTAGGGCACGAAATTTCTGAAAAAAGCATCAAACCTGACTCCGATAAGATACAATGCGTATTAGATTTTCCGCAACCGGAGAACGAGTGAGAGCTCCGAGCCTTCCTAAGACTGACCGGATATTACCGCAGACACGTAGAATCCTATGCAAAGATCGCTAAGCCCTTAACAGACCTATTACGAAAGGATAAAACATTTAAATGGGGACCCAATCAACAAGAAAGTTTTGAAACCCTTAAGAAAATTTTGACCTCCGCGCCATTATTAAAATCACCAGACTTTACAAAACCTTTTATACTCGCTACAGATGCTTCAAATTCTGCCTTAGGAGCGGTGTTGGCCCAAGAAGAAAATGGAAAAGAAAAACTGATTGCCTATGCAAGCCACTTACTAAGAAAATCTCAGCAAAACTATAGTACTACTGAGAAAGAATGTTTAGCCACTGTTTGGGCAGTAAAATATTTTAAACCCTATCTATATGGACAAAAGTTTACGATTGTAACTAATCATAGACCTCTTCGATTGTTACTAGACTGCAAAGATTCTACAACCAATTCTAGGTTATCGCGATGGATCATTTGCCTTCAAGAATTTGATTTTGACATTATACATAAGGCCAGAAGTTTGCACAAAATGCAGATGCCCTTAGCCGTATTTCAATTCTGCAAATATACGAAGTCGACCCTATTTTTTCTGTACCTCAGATACAGCGCCAGCGGCCTGTTCGGCATGTTCATCAACTATGTATGCTCTGTAATCTTTTGTATCTCTGTTTTATTTTAAATAATTGCGGCGCCAGGCGCTCATGACTCCCTTTACCAACTTTCCTATCTACTTTACACTTCCCCTTACCTCCTACTCTCTCCTCACCCTTTCCCTTTGTCCTTCCTCCCGTGCAATACCGCCGAGTAGCACTGGTTTCACCCCCTTTCACTAACGATGTAACGATGTACCTCAGATAATCAATGCACAACAGCAAGATAAAGTATTGGAACTTATAATAAAAGCCCTAAAGGACGTCATTATGACAGGAACCTATAAAACAATCAAAATAGATTAATTTTATATCAATGAGGAAGGTGCCCTTTGTCACAAAGGGACAAATAAAAGACAAACAGATTGGTGGGAACAAATAGTCATCCCGACTACCCTAAAGGACTATATCCTATATACTTATCACGATAATCCGATAGCGAAACACTTAGGTGAATTAAAGATGCAAACTAAAATTGCTAAGACCTTCTATTGGCCATAATTGCCGAAAGATATTCGAAATTATTGTAAAAGCTGCACAAACTGTGCAAAACATCGGCGGCAAGGACGGCGAGCACAAGCTGATCTACAATTATTTGCTCCTCTTTCTCATGTCTTTAAACGAACCGCCATAGATATTGTAGGACCTCTTCCTCTTACTAATAATGGAAACAAATATATCCTAGTATTCCTAGATCATTTCAGCCGATATGCGGAAGCGGTGCCACTACCAGATGTCAGCAGTAATACGATAGCGAAAGCATTTGTTACTCACGTAGTATTACGTCATTTCACACCAACCCAGTTGTTAACTGATAGAGCACCGAACTTGACCTCTAAAATGTTTACAGAAGTGTGTAAACTGCTGCAGATAAAAAGACTTCTTACTACGGCCTATCATCCTGCTTATAATGGTATCGTTGAAAGATTTAACAAGACCTTAATCGATATTCTATCTCATTATGTATCTAAAGATCAACGAAATTGGGACGAATGGATCTCCTACGCTTTGTTTGCATATAATACGTCGGTACACGTGTCTACCAATGAAAGCCCTTTTTATCTGCTATATGGGAGAGACCCGACCTACCCTTTTGACCTAGTTACGAGCCCTACTACGATATCTTACGACATCGAAGACAACTTTGCATCAGAATTGCAGCAAAGAATGCAGCAAGCCCATCGAATGGCTCAACATTGCTCCGAACACGCTGCTGAATCGAGGCAAGAACGTCATCGTAAACAAAATAAACCTCCATGGTACAGAGTGGGGTTAAAAGAAGTTGTTACATTTAAGGGCTTAAAGCGAAAATTAGCTCCGCGATGGTCGGGACCTTATAGAATTATTAAAATTATGGACCTGTTAACTTTAAAATTGAAGACCTACAAAATAAATGAAAACTACACGTCCATGCTGATCGCATTAAACCGACCAGTGCTCGAAAAGAATTTGACCTAAAATCTGACCTAACCATAAATCCAGCTACCGTATCGCCAAATGCAGAGTCTCCACCAGATATCTCTATCGACCCTTGGGAAAATTTTATTTTATCCTCTATACCCACTCCACAACCGGAAGAGACAACAGAACAGGAAGAAGAAGACGATATAAGAGAATCAGAGTCGGAAAGTGACTCAGAGCCAGAGGGAGAGCCAGAAGCTACTTCGCCCTATGCTCTTCGCAGTCGGGGCCCAGTTGAAGATGAACCTTGGGTTATGCCTCGACCCACAAGTAGCCATATACCACGGTTCATTTCTCCTACTGATAGTCGATCATCTTTCCCTTAATCCCTTTAGTTTATCTAAAGGAAAAACCACACGACTTCCGTGTTCCGAGATAAGCTATATCTCCTATACGAGACTCAAATATTAAAACTAAACAATATCTTTTCTTTTGCCCTTCCTCTCCTTATTGGTCCTTTTATCCCTTTTAGAGAAATATGGCTAACCTTGAACAAGACAATTCTGTGCCAGCAGTTTGCAACTGCCCCATCTGCTATGACTTGATAAAGCCACCTGCATACCAGTGTACCAATGGGCACCTGGTATGTTCACAATGCAGACCCCATATATCAATATGTCAAACGTGTCGAGAGACATTAGGCTACATCCGCAATTTAGCGGTGAAACAAATAATTGCCTCCCTGCAACGGTCGTGTGCTAATAAAATGTTTGGATGCCCGGTCTTGCTGAAGGAGGTCGACCGGGAGACACACGAAAACATATGTTCATTCTGACCGGTGGCTTGTCCCTTCTCTGACAATGATTGCGGTTGGAGAGGAGCATTAGCCAATTTGATAGCTCATATACAGACCAATCATCCTCAGGTACCTGTTTTATAACAGACCCGCCTAATCTTCTTGGGGGTCCCGGCAACTGAACACCACGCCAACAACTGGGCTACCATCCTGACTTGGTACAGCCAGTATCTTCTGCTAATGGTCACCAGTCGAGAGTAGGTCGTCAACGAGTCAAGACGTTCTTTTCATCGCTCCTCTTTTCGTGGAGATTGGTTTCGGAAATATTTATCGTATTTTATCTTCTGATACATCGTTGGATAGCGTATTTAATCACGGTTAGTTTTATATTATAGAACAATCGCACTAATTCCCCATGCAAGTAAGATTCTGTTAAAAATAATACAGAAGAGAATTGAGCCATATTTAGAAAGAGAATTGCCACTGGAACAGGCTGGATTTAGAAAGGGAAGAGGAACTCGCGATCAAATTAGCAACATCAGATGGATTCTAGAAAAGGCAAAAGAGTACCAGAAGGACGCCTTCTTTTGTTTTATAGACTATAGTAAAGCCTTCGATTGTGTGGATCACTCCAAGTTATGGAAAGTACTCAGGAGCATGGGAATTCCTGAACACCTTATATCTTTATTGATGAGTCTTTACAATGAACAAGAAGCAAAAGTAAGAACTCTATACGGAGAAACTGAATGCTTTAAAATTGAGAAAGGGGTGCGACAAGGCTGCATTTTGTCTCCATATCTGTTTAACTTATATACTGAATATATCATGAGAATGGTTACTACAAATGAAGAGTCCATTGGTATCAAGATTGGAGGCGAAACTATTAATAATATAAGATATGCAGATGATACCACCCTTTTGACAGAAAGCAAAGCAGATTTAGAAAAACTTATCATAAGGGTAAAAGAAGAAAGTGCTAAATTTGGTTTGAAGCTAAATGTAAAGAAAACTAAAGTAATGTCAACTAAAGAGTTAAAAGATTTCATTGTGGATGGTGAAAGAATTGAAGTGGTAGAAAGTTACATACTTTTGGGCTCAAAGATAGAAAGGAATGGAAGTTGTGAAGGAGAAATCAGGAGGAGAATTAATCTTGGCAGAACAGCCATGGCAAATCTCACCAAGATAATGAAAGATAAAGACATTTCCATTCATACTAAGAAAAGAATTGTAGAAGCAATGGTTTTCCCTGTAACATTATATGGCTGTGAAAGCTGGACTCTAAGGAAAAAGGAAAGAAAAATGATAGATGCATTCGAATTATGGGTATGGAGAAGATTACTTAGAGTTCCATGGACAGAAAAGAAAACAAATATCTCAATTTTAGAAAAAATTAAGCCAAGCTTCTCCTTAGAGTCAAGAATCTTAAAACAAAAATTGACCTACTTTGGACATGTGATGCGTAAAGAAGTTTCCCTAGAGAAGACTATTATGCTGGGAAAAGTGGAAGGTAGAAGGAAGAGGGGAAGGCAACGGATAAGATGGATAGAAGAAATAGAAAAAGTCACAGAAATGAAGCTGGATGAGCTACGAGAGACAACAAGGGAAAGATCAAGATGGAGAAGACTTGTCCATGAAGTCACCAGGAGTCGACGACGACTCGATGGAACTTAACAACAACAAAAAGTTTTATATTAGCATGGTTTAGCTAGCTATATTAGGGGGGGAGTTACTGGTTAGTAAATTTAGTATTTTTCGGTCGGTTTTAGAGGGGGTATTTAATTGAAAGGGGGGCTTGCTTATATCGCATTGTTATCGTTAGGTTATAGGTCTTAGTATTAAAATTTGGTCTCTTTTGGCTCCAATTTAACCGTTCTAGCTTAGATTTAATATACATTTATTTCATCAGCATTCTGGGAAAGTCTTTGTTCCGGTTTTCTTTGTTCATTACAAAAAACTAATGGTCGTGGTTATTGTCTTTCTAACGGTCGTTTATCGGCCGTTCTATTGTTCTTTAACCATTTTGTAAGAATATCTCTTACTTTTATAAGTTGTTTTATTTATAAAAAAATTATAATAATTAAATCATATATATTAATAATTTATATACGTTGCACTCAGGATTTAATTTTGGTTTTTGTGTTTTAATTGCCTGTAATGAGTAAAGGTTCTAACGGTTTAAACGGCTAATAATGGTATTATGGGTTTTGAACGGTTTATCTTTGTAATTTAATTTTTATAGTTTTAAGGTTTTTTGTAAGAAGGATCATTTAATTTAAACTATGTAGTGTTCTGGTACTTTTCTTAATTATTTGGTTCAGGAGTTGTTTAAAATAAGTAATTCAATTTACAGGTTGACGATTGTACAGGTTGACGAATATACAGGTTGACGATTATGTGCATATCATAAAATGTTTCAGATGCTGTGGGTATAACCACATTGCACGGGATTATACTACAGCACAAAGTTGTAGTCACTGCTCAAAGAGCCATAAATACAGTGATTGTACCAATCGTGAACTGCCTCAGTGCTGTATTAATTGCAAAAGAATCAATAAAGACATAGCACATGACAGAAGATAAGACAAACCATAATGCGTTCGACCAAAAATGTCAGCAGACAATTAAAATAAAGGAGCTAATGATAAAACAAACAAACTATGGGTTCTAACGTCTCACCAAGTAACATAAAACTGATACAGATCAATCTTCAACGTTCCAAAGCGGCTACCACAGAGGCAATGCAAACAGCTAACACTCGACAAGCAGACATCCTTGCTATACAAGAGCCCTACTGTTACAATGGGAAAATAGCACTTTTCGGAAGTTTAAATACTCTCTGCCATACGGATCCTCTGGACAAACCACATCGTGGTTTTGTCATTATTAACAAGAATATCGACGTACAGTTGCTGTGCTGCCATACAAACAGGTACTACACCACCATTATAGTTAAGACTCATAATATAAAACTGGTTCTGATATCATTCTATTGTTCTCCCTATGAAGACATAACGAAGCCACTTGAGGAGCTTTATAATACCATCTACAAACTAAGTAACCTTCCCATCATAATAGCGGGGGATTTTAATGCCAAATCACAGTTGTGGCACAGCCCAATTCAAGACCCTAGGGGCTACAAAGTTGTGGAACTCTTAAATAGTCTATCCTTACAGTCCCTCAACAAAAGCATTCTCCCAACATACTCTTCCTCCACTGGCAAAAGTTGGGTGGACATTTGTATTGGAAATAAACTCATATTAAGGCTAAACATTCACTGCAGTACCTTAGTAGATCACTCTGCAAGTGATCATAACTACATAGAGACAACTATAAACATCAATAGTGCGTACAAAAAGTTTCACATTAAACGAAAAACTGACCGGGTCCATTATCAAGATTACATTAAGTCACAATGGTACAATGACACTCTTGCAAATCTGAATAATATTATTGCACTTGAGCAGGTTATTGTAAAGCTTCAGTATATCATTCAGATGGCTTACCACCTAGCAACAACTATAAAAACTGTTAAACAGTCTGCACCTTGATGGTCTAAAGAACTTTCTTAACAGCGGACCACACTTAGAATGGCCAGGAAAAAGTTTAGGCAAGAGCAGGACCCAGAAAGGCGTGAAAATTTACGACAAGATTATTTAGTCCTCTTTAGGGAATACAAGAACAATATCAATAAAGCTCGCACTGAATCGTGGAGAAGATTCTGTTCGGAGCGCGGGAAGAGTACACCATGGTCTACTCCATATTACGTTGCCAGAGGAAAGATGAAAAACACCAGAATTCCACATAACTTCCAAGACAGTGTTGACTACAGTAATTTGATACAGGATACTTATATCAAAATCATCAATGATCTTTTTCCAAGTGATGATCCGGCCACAGATGACGACACACACACAAGTATAAGGAAAGACTGTCACATCTGTCCCACTACAACAGAAGATACTATGTTTACGACCCAGGAAATCCACAACGAATTCTGCAAACTCAGGTTGAAAAAGGCACCCAGATTTGATAGCATCAACCCCATGATGGCGAAACTTGCCTATGAAGCAATTCCTACAACATTTTCCATCATTCTAAATAAATGTTTACAAATAGGTCTTTTTCCGACCATTTGGAAAAAAGCTTCAGTTAAGCTAATACCAAAGTGTGCCAATCAAAAGAGCTCCACTGACTATCGTCCCATCTCGCTTCTTCCGGTGATTGGAAAAGTGCTGGACCGACTCATGACAAATAGACTTCAATATCATTGTGAAAAATATAACTGCATTAATGATAAACAGTACGATTTTCGGAAAGGGATTAATACCATATCGGCCTTAGATAATTTAATTAATTACATAAAGGAAGCCAAGGAAAGGGGACAGCACACCATGGTGATCTCTATAGACTACAGAGGTGCCTTCGATCATGCGTGGTGGCCAGCAATCCTTACAGCCATAAAGGAAACTGGCTGCCCTAGAAATATCTTCAACCTGGTGAAAAGCTACCTCACAGATAGAAGCATCACAGTTGTCAAAAACAATAATACATATTTTCAAAAAAGTATTAATAGAGGCTGTCCTCAGGGCTCGCAGTCAGGCCCTTTCTTGTGGCTTGTCATTTACAATAGCCTTTTAGATATTAACTCAACTATTCCTAAAGAGTACAACAGTTTGTTACAAGGATATGCAGATGACTCCATTTTGGCAATATCTCACGAAAACCAGAAAGTTCTAGAAACAAGAGCAAATAATATTCTACAGTCAATTTCACAGTGGAGCAAAAGAATGAAACTAATCATCAATTACGAAAAATGTAAATGCATTGTTTTTCCAAAAACTACTCCACTAAAACAGGGACCTAGAATAAGGATGGATAGTTACAGAATCAAAAACTGCAATGAAATTAAATACTTGGAAGTACTTATAGACAATAAGCTCACATGGAAAAACCACATTCACTACGCATACGGGAAAGCCATAACAGCCCTGCATTCCCTCGCCTCAAACGCCAAGAATCACTGGGGCAATAGCAACAAAGCCCGGAGGCTTCTCTACATCGCTGTGATTACTCCAATCCGCACATATGGTTCTGAAGTCTGGGGCACATCAATTACTAAAAAGTATACAATGAGGAAGGTCCTTTATTTCCTCTTCTCTCTAACTTTTACTTTCTTTTACTCTTCCTTCGTATTCATACAGGGGTAAAGTCTGCACTAAATCGCAGATAGCCCCTCTTGTCTTTTATTAGAATAGAATGAGAAAGGTCCTGTCAGCACAACGGCTATCAGCTATTTCCATATCCAGGGCATACAGGACAATATCTACTGATGCAGCACTAGTTATTGCTAACCTTATACCGATTGACTTAATTATTAAGGAAAAAGTATGGAATTACTGTCAATTCAAGTTAGCCAACGGGACTATAAATATGGAAAACTTTCTTCGAATCACCGAGAAACTAGGTATCCACCAAGCAGCATCACACATCTCGGACCACTTACAGACTTACAAGTTGGATCACAACCCTAGGCAATTTGTCTTTCACCCAAGTTTTTCTATCGAAGAACTTTTCTCTTTAGAGGGTGAAAAGAACCCGACGGGACTTAACATTTTTACGGACGGTTCGAAGTCCGAGGTGGGAGTGGGTTGCTCCATTGTTGTGTTAGCCAACAGTAAAACCATCTATCAGGCACAATTCAGTCTGGCTGGCCATTGCACAGCCAACCAGGCTGAGTCTTACGCGATCTACAAGGCTATTAAATGGATAACCGACCACCAGACAAACTATAATATTTCCAAAGTAAACACTCTTTGTGACAGTAGGGTTGCCCTTCTGCAACTAAAGAACTTAAACATGAAGCTGTCGATCGTTTACGACAGTGTGAAACTTATTGAAGCCTATCGAAACATCATTCAGTTTAAATTCATTTGGGTTAAAGGTCATCCCAAAATATAAGGTAATGAGAGGGCAGACCAACTAGCCCGATCAGCCCCCACCAGGACCAGAAGCTGCTCCTACGATTTAACTCCAACCTCTTGGCTTAAGAAACAATTACGTGACACCACTTGGAACAGTTGGCAAAACAGATGGGCTAATAGCCCTACAGGTAGACTCACCTACCAGTTTATCCCGAATGTCCAACTCAGGAACACTTGTAACTTTATAACCCCAAGTTTTCAAATAACCCAAATAATGTCAGGGCATGGGAACTTCAGGTGTTATCTTAAAAGGTTTCTTCATAAGACAGACGGACTTTGTACTTGCCACACGAATCAGGAAGATAACCCAGAGCATGTTCTGTTTCACAGTCCCCACTACAGTAGGCAAAGGAAAGTGTTAATTGACTCTGTGCGTACAGCAAACGAACTGTGGCCTTGCCAATTAAGTAATTTAACAAATAGCAAAAAAACTATTTAATGCACTAAAAAGCTTTGCCACAAGCATAAAGATTCTGGACTAATTTTATTCCGATTGCATGCACATATAAAGGATTTACTTTCTGCATGGGCTTTATCTTTAAAAATTTTGTATTTTAATGTTGGTATCAAAGTCCTCTTTGTTTTTATATGTTTTTGTAACACTATAATATTGTATGGGTAAACAATTAATAATTTATCCCTAAGCAACAGTTTTTTTTATTTGTAAACTTCCTATTAATATCTCATTTGTCATTAAAATAAATT